TGTGTGCGCTACTGCACGCTTCCTATATATAATCTTGTTCAAATTTTCAATCCTTAATAAAATACTTTTTTTATTCATCCATTCAAGTTCAAATACATTTTTTTAACTTGTAGTGGATGACGCTGGATGTTAATACAGTTTTTTCAAATATCAATTCATAATTTTCTATTTAATTAATGAATAAATAGTAACAAACAAAAATAATAGTCCAACACCATATATAAAAAGGAAAATCACACGGTGTGTCCCTGTAGCGCAATGGATAGCGCGTTGGACTTCTAATCTGAGGGATTCATCTAATCAGGAATTCTGGGGTTGTGGGTTCAAACCCCACCTGGGATAACCTTATTTCTAGGAATGTGATTTGTTTTTACTATTCTATTTTATTGGAATAATTAAATTTAATTAATGAAATAATAGTAACAAACAAAAATAATAGTCCAACACCCTATACAGAAAGGAAAATGGAAACTTGCAAGGAAAATCGCTTTCTATTTTGCCACTTAATATTGTGATTCTGTCATATGTATATACATATTTATATTAATTGTAATTATTTAATAAAAAAATAACTAAAATAAATTTTTTCTTTACCTAAGAAGGAATTGACTTAATTTTTTTTGTATTGCTTGTTATTTATCCAATGCATTTAAAATCTTTAACTTTTTAAAATTACCTTTAAAATTTATAAAAAACTGCTATTTCATAACCGAAAATTGAAACATTTTCCTATAAACATAAATTTTTTCTTCAATTTTAATATATATTTACTGTCTATATATTTTTACGAAATACTTTAAAAACATATTAAGATACTTTAAAAAAAATATGGTTTATTTAATCGATTTATCTTGAATACTTATGTGTTATTCTTATCTTTAGGCCATGATAACTTAGGGGTCATGATCACAGACTTGTGGTCACTCAGGGGTTGTACTCGTCACTTGACCATGGTTCAAAATTACGAAAACATTCTCCAGTAGTCTCTTGTCGCTTTAAGAACGACATTATTAAACATTCACTCACTATTCTTATCTTTCAGTCTATTTTCTGGAAAATTTTTTTTTAGAAAAATTAGAATGTTTGAAACGTGATGACACAAAAGATTTCCCGTATGTTTATATAAAATCTGGCAAAAATGATTTTCCTGCTGTTCTTGAGAGCCTGTTTTCTTGTTTTCCATTTGGTCTGCTCTGATCGATTTTTGAATACTTTGACCTTATCTGAAGTTCTTAATAAATTAATAGTTATTTAATTTTCCTTTTTTTATTTGTCCCATTTTTATCTGATATGTTATAACCAGTTTGTTTTTCAATTCTATATATAATTTTACTCATCCATTTGTCTTAGGAAGATGTTAATTGGTGTAGTGTGGTTGTTAGGAGAGTGGGGTGCCAGTTCAGGTGTCGTCCACGTCACTTGACCGTGGTTCAAAATTACGTGGTCCATCGCCAAAAGCCCTCGTGTAGCTGAACAGGGTGACGTTAATATTCACTCACTTACCCACTAGGAAGATGTTCAAATTCTTGTTGAACGTTTTGCTGAAATATATGTATAAAGTGTTTCGGGCAGTTTTCAATGTTGAAAGAAATACAGATCCACACACGTACATTGTGTGTGTGTGATGGTACTGAAACGATCCTTAGAAAATGATGTCAGTACTTTGAAACAGATAAGTGCAACAAACATTTCCGTAAGACACACACACAGAACAGATTGAGATTTTTGTGATATTGTTTACAATGTCACACTTTTTTTACAAAGTTTATATTTAAGATTTCTGTATAACTTAAAAAGCTTATAAACAAAAGATAGGATTAAATTCATTGACTTAGTTAGTCCCGAGTAGGCCCTGTATTAAAATTCTTTGGGTCCCTTTTTTGAGTAGAATGGGATTTAGTCGGAACTATTGATAACATTTTACGGGTTCTTGCTTACAAATATTAGGACCTCTATAGCTTGGGTGACCCGTATCCTTGCATGGCTAACACGTCAGTAACTACCCCCTGGTTAGATTCTTTCCAACGAAATCCATTATTGAAATTTTTTGACTAAATCTGTGAACTCGGAGAATTTTGTTCCAAAAAATAAGACTCTTTAAAATGTGTATACCTACAGAAGAATAATAAATAAGAATTAAAATCAACAGATTTTTCCATTAGAATTCGAAGGGCTATATTTATTTTCTCCGGATCGAGGGAATTTTAAATGAGAAAGCAGAAGATTCGAGAAAAGTCAGGTGCATTCCTATCATAGCGATTCGGTTGACTGCGGGGGTAATTATTCCAAAGAATTTCAACAAAAGAACACCTGTGAGCTTAAGAACTCTATCTCCTACCCTTCCTTTAACAGATAGGTAAGCTATGTAGTTTGCCCGAAAAAAAAACGAATTTTGTGAGTACAAGTGTCGTTGTTTACCTTTAATAAGCACCTTTTCTAGTGCTGTTTTTAGAGATTTGCACTTGTATTCGTGTTTTGTTCAAAAATATAAAACATTTTTCCCTTATTGTTAGAGATTGAAAGGGATATTGTTACAATTCGGACATCGAAAGAAAGGTCAGTTGTCCAATGTTATGCGAATTTTATTGAATATTAGAATATTGTATGAGACGTTTGTTCAAGCATTAAGTGTTGAGATGTGTAAGTCGTCCATTAGTAATTTTTCGTCGGGGATGGAACTTTGGAAAGGTAAAAAACAACCAATTTTAAAAAACTTCTGTGTGTGTGCATTAACCCAGAATAAATTTTGAGATGCATCCTTCCTGCATATCAGTGGTTCCCAAACTTATTGTACCCACGAACAGGGACGTCTTAAGGCATGGGTCAACTGGGTCCGCGCCCAGAGCCTCACCCTCGGTGGGGGGCCTCGTTTCATTCTCGGCTCTATCTTAATAACATCATGATCCGGATAATTTTAATAGTCAAATATTATCCCAGTATATATTCTTGGAAAAACAGGGAATTTCAAACTGCATGCCAACTAGTAAAAGTAGTAAGACTGTTTTATTATGTGATGACCGTTGCCCATGTCTAGACCTAGGTCTAATACCATAAACAATCATTCAACTCATTTAATCAAAATACGGGCAACAGTCGAGCGGGTTGTTCCTAGGTTTGTGAGATTGTGATTCGTGCACATTTATTTGTTTTAAATGACCCTTTGAACGAGTATTTGACAATGCATGCTATATACTGTCTACTTTTAAAGATCTCAGGTAGAGCCTACTTTTGCATGAGGGCATAGGGCCTCAGAAAATCTTAAGATTTCTCTGGGTCCAGGGCCTCAAAGTCTTAAGACGTCCCTACCCATGGAACCCTTTTTATATCAAAAACTTTGCCGTGAGCCTCCAAGAGAAAAAAACTCTCTTTCAATGCATTACAGAAAAAATATAAATTCAAGTTTGATGTTCTGAATGGTGAATGTTGAAGTAAAAATAGAATATATAAATAAAACTATGTGATACTTGAAGTAACATTTATTCAAATTATAGTTTTTGTACATCAAAATATAGAAACACCTTTTTTTTTTCAATGAGTGGGAGAAATCAATGAATTGATTATAACTCATGGGTAACAATTCAAAGAATATTACTACTCTCCAAATTAAATTTTAATTTTCTACGAACTCTTTCAGCATTCACAAGGTCTGCCAGGAATGCGTAGGAACCCCTCTGGGAATCGATAGAGATCAAAATATATATTTGCGCGTGGGTTTCTAGATGTTGAATGGGTTATCAGACATCATAAACAAGTAATGTAAAAATACATAGAGCCGTTCTTATTTGAGTAGAGAGAAGATTTATTTTCCATCTAAACCTCAATTGTACGTTTGGACTTACATATAAACATTCTCGTTCAATTTCATTTAAATTGAAAATGTAATTTTGTCTTTTTTTACTTCTGACCGTTCTAAATAGATTCAGCTAATGAATAGATTTGACAAATAAATGGTTAATAAAACATATATATGTTTTGAATTCCTCGAAAACTCTTTTAACATGATTAAATTCCTCGGGGGAACCCTGAATAATTAGCGGCCGCTTAATTCAAGAAATTTTTCTGAGCCGACAAAATATAAATTCGCGGAAACTGTTTTAAGTGTTTATGTCTTTGGGGAATCTCTCTCTCTCTCTCTAGCTCTAGAATTCCGCTCATAAAAATAAGAGAGTTAAAATTTCGGTTTGTGTTTGGTTACATTTTACCAGTTAATTGTATCGAACAGTTCTTTTCTAATCCCACACGGTTGTAAAAATTGGAATTTTTATACCGTAAAAGACCCACAACTCATTACGGAAACCCGGCGCACTCTGCTTTTCATTAAATTTACATCCCTATCACGGCTTAAAGATAATGGTTTTAAACAAAAGAGACTTTGTCACAATGGATTGGTTTGAAACGAAGGAAATATTCCAAAACAAACAGAAAAGTAAACTCTAAAATGTTTCGAGGCATTGTTTGCGAATTTCACCATCAACCATCGTTCCATTATTCATTTTCGATTCTCAGCCATTCAAAATAAAACACTATCCCGCAGAACAAGAGCGATGGTGGGAAAAGAAAGAAAGAAAAAAAGAACCCAAATCATCGACTAAATAACCCCAGGAAAAGAGGGAAGCGTTCCGCAAAAATTTGACACTTGGGTATCCCATGTTCATTAAACGAGGATTATTAGCAAGCTAGCAACTCGGCCTCATTCTCCCAGCGGACGATTTGCAAGTTTCAGGTGCCTCCAGGACGTTAACAACACAACCCGAACCGACGGAATCCTCTGGAGACTACCGTAGAACGATAGCAACTGAATTCCCAACGGGATTCTAAAACCTTCGAATTTTAGAAACCGCGTGCGCTACCAGTAATTACAAAAGAGTTTTCACAGCCTATAGGCTAGGCTGTAACCAGACTCTAGAGACTTCACTAGGATTACGGGAAAGATTATTTTTGTTGCCTTCAAACAAACATAGAAAACTTGAAGAGCAACAGCAAAAAATATAAATAAATAAATAGTTGTTACGATCGGCGAATTCTGTCTTTTTCTTTTTGTTTCATGTGTTCTACCTCTTGTCTATTGTCGCATTTCTTTGAAGGAACTTTCGTGTCCCGTGTGCTTTGGTTCTGTTGAGTGAATGATTAATTTGAAAACAGTTTTGTGGTTACAATTTTTCGGATTGTTTCTTCTCGTAAAAAGACTTACTTTTAATCGAGTGTCTTTACTTTTTTACCCTTTCTTAAAATGGTGACTGGAAACATGGCTTTTGTATAAGAAAACACTATCCGTTCTAATCAGCAAATATCTTTTTAATTACTTAAATTCCTTTGTTTTAAACATTTTCTTTATTAGCATT